CGAGACAAACTAAATTAATTATTATGTTATCGACTTATTCACGTAATAATTTGACGAGGAACTCGACTAGTTCAGAGCCATGCTAGAGGCTCATAATCATGAGCAGCATTCTGCGACTGTCGCGCTGCTACTGACAACTGCTACTGACAGCATGGCTTGAAACTAGTCGAGTTCCTCGTCAAATAATTACGTGAGTAAGCCGAAAACTAGGTATGTGTGACGGTGGGCGGTGACAGCGTTGTGCACCGCACTCCCGGTTTTTAAATTTTATTTGAGGAATTCCGTGTTATATCGGTCTAAATATGTGTGTATAGTGAACTATTTATGTTATATCACATGTACTAAGTGTAGGACAGTGTTAAATTCAGTGATTATTGTGATTGTAAGACAATTTGGTGCATGTAAATAGTGATACCTACGCATGTGCATGGCGCGAAGTATCGCGAGCCGTGCATCTTACTCTTTCACTCCTGTGTGTGACACTTAGCTTTGTCTCGCTCGCGCGCTTTGCGTTCGCACATTCATAATGATTTGCTTTGCTTGCAATAAAAAAATTGGTTTGGGAGATCAAATGAGATGTACTGGATGCAAAACAGTATATCATTATACCTGTCTTAATATTACAACGGCTACATTCACTGAACAAAAAACCCAGTTGAAGATGACCTACAGATGTGATTCCTGCTCAAACATAACACGTCGTGTACACGTAACCGACGAGACACCTGTACGTAATTCCCGCTCAAGAGGAGGGTTGATTGAAGAAGAGTTAACTAAGAATAGTGAAGAGATTATTACGGAAAAAAGTACGCCATTGGAAATTAATATGATGGATAATATACAAAGTATTACGGATATATTAAAAGGAATAATATCCTCCAGGTTGAATGATATTGAAATAAAATTGATTCAAGAGATTAAAAGTTCAGTAGCTAGTTTGGTCTTAGAAAATAAAAAACTGAGAGAAGATTTGAGTGACGCTTATAAAAAGTGCTCTTATTTAGAAGAAGAAGTTAAAGTTCTCAAAAATGGAAAAAATATTACTACGCAGCAGAATGTTTGTACCACATTCGTACAAAATTCTTTAGATAGTCGAACTAGCAAAGAAGCTTCCACTACGCAGACGCAGTCATCACGCGGTGTTTCCGAGACATTGCCGGCGAACCCGAGAGCGAGACCGCCGCTGCCGTCGCCGGCCGCTTCGATCATACCTGCGACCGCGGCCGCGGCCCCGGCAGTCCGAGCGACAATCGCGTCGACGCGCGCCTCGGCTCAGCTGGGCGATACCTACGCGGAAGCGGTGGCCAGAAATACAGCGGTAGCGGGAACGTGTGCGCATGATGCAAATGATACATGGATTGAAGTAACAAATAGGAGAAGAAATAACCCAGTAAAAATAGGTGGTAATACTTCAGTTACATTGATGAAGGCAGTAGAACGGAAAAAATATTTACACGTGTGGAGATTGGACAAAAATACTACAGAAGATAACATTAAGAAACATATTAAAAATATAATAGGAGATAGCTCAGAATATAAAGTAGATAAAATAAAAACAAAAACTGAAAGAAATTACTCTTCATTTAAGATTGGTTTATTGGAAAGGGACTTTGAAAAACTGTGTAACCCGGATGTTTGGCCCTTGAATGTGGAATTTAGCGAATGGATTTTTTTTCACCGTCCAACTACAAATACTTCAAAGCATCCAAGCACACGGGAGGCACAGTGATACCGAAATATTATAATATTTTGTATCAAAACGTAAGAGGACTAAGAACTAAAACAACACAATTTTTATCATTACTAGAATCTTCTGCTGCTGACATATTCGCTATTACGGAAACGGGTTGTAACGAATCAATTTACGATTCAGAAATTTCGTTGCCGGGATATCAGATTTTACGTTGTGACCGGGCGGACGGCCGCAAGCAGGGCGGCGTGCTTTTGGTGGCCACACCGCGTTTTGAACTGCGACGACTACAAGTGCCAGGTGATATTATTATTGACTCTCAACAATTTGAACTAATATGTGCAAGTGTTTATAAACATAATAGGTTTTTATTTGTATGCTGTGTGTTGTATATACCACCTAAGGCAAATGAGACTGAGTACATGGTAATGTTTAATATATTAGAGAAATTATGTATTAAATATAGAGGTAATATAGTTATTTTAGGAGATTTTAATTTAGTTTCGTGCAATAGTATTGTTAATAATTATTTTGAATATTTTGTAGCCTTCTGTGAGGTCATTCAGTGTAACATGGTACCGAATTGCAATAACAGACAATTGGACCTTGTGTTGAGTGGGCGCAGTGGCGTGTCGGTGTGCGCGGCGGACGAGGGGCTACAGCCTGTGGACGCGTACCACCCGCCGCTCGCGGTCGGCGTCGCGGCGTCGTGTGCACCGGCACCACTGACACCACATCCATCCACTTCCACATCTTGTGAATCACAACTCCACTCTCATATACAATACATTAAATGGAATTTTCGAAAAGCAGATTACAGTTGGTTATATTATTTAATTAATTCAATAGACTGGACAAATTTGTACAATATTAGCGATCCAGATTTGGCCTTAACCTTTTATTATGATAAAATATATGAAACCTTTGCATCTAGCATTCCTTTAAAAACTAAAAATAATAGTAAAAGAATATATCCAGAATGGTATAACTCAGACCTGATTAAACAGATAAAATTAAAATATAGATTACATAAAATATACAAAGAATCTAAATCCCCAATTGATTATAAGGCTTTCTCTCAGTGTCGGGCTAAGGTGAAGGCAGAAACGGTTAATTGTTTTTTACAGTACAAAGATAGAGTACAGAACCATCTTGCTGTAGACCCAAAATCATTCTGGAACTACGTAAGGTCCAAAAAAGACTCATCTAAACATTGCAAGTTGATTAAAGAAGGACGAGTTCTATCAAGTGAAGAGTCTGCTAGGGAGTATGCATTATTTTTTCAGTCTGTGTACAGTACGACGGCGGGCACACTGAGCGCGGAGGCGGCGTGCGGGGGGGCGACGCCGAGCGGTGCATATACGCACATCGCGCGTCTCGAGCGGGCGGCCGTCCGGCGCGCGCTCACCTGCTTGCCGCCTAAGCGCTCGGTGGGTCCGGACGGTATTCCACCTTTCATTTTAAGAGACTGCCGTGAGGTACTAGTAGATCCCTTACATCACATATTTAATGTTTGCTTATCGGAAGCATATTTTCCTGATCGTTGGAAGCTGACGCGTGTGGTGCCTATACCAAAGGGTCGGGGTGGTACATGCGTCAGTGACTTTCGGCCAATTGCAGTACTGAGCGCGCCAGCTAAAGTGTTCGAGATGTCTATTCACACCGATCTCTATACACAGATGGGCGTACATTTGTCTGAAGCGCAGCACGGCTTCCGACCTGGACGTAGCACTACAGGAAACCTGCTGCACCTGATGTCACAGTTGGTACCAGCTGTTGATGTCGGGTTACAGGTGGACGTGGCCTACCTGGACTTCGAGAAGGCGTTCGACACGGTCGACCACGACATATTATTGTTGAAGTTAGCAGGTATGGGCTGCACATATCATACTGTGAAGTTCTTTGCCAGTTATCTTCGAGATAGACGTCAGTATGTTGACTGTGCCGGACGCCTCTCGGAGCCTTACTACACCAGATCGGGCGTCAGTCAGGGTAGTAATTTGGGACCTTTATTATTTATCATTATGATAAACGATTTGCCAAAGGTAGTAACTTCAACATGCCTATTATTTGCTGACGACTTGAAGTTGTCCACTACCATAGAAAAAGCCTTTGATCGTGATGCGTTGCAGAACGACTTGGACAGGGTCACAGAATGGAGTCACTCCAATAAATTATACTTTAATGTATCTAAATGCTCAGTGCTTTCATTCACACGCACACGTAACCCTCAACACCACGAGTACATCATGAACGGGAAGCCGCTGCAGCGTATCACGGAGGTAAGGGACCTTGGGATTAATTTCACAAGTGATTTACAGTTTCGTGCACATGTGGTGCACATTTGTAAAAAGGCGTTCAGGAATCTGGGTTTTGTGCTGCGTCAGGCAAATGATTTTACGAACATCATTGCTCTGAGAGCATTGTACGAAGCTCTTGTGAGGAGTCATCTCGAATACAGCGCGGCCGTTTGGAGTCCGAGTGAAACAAAATATAAAGATATGATTGAAAAAATTCATAACAAATTCATTCGATTTCTATATCTAAAGTTGTATGGAGTATATCCGGGTTACCCATTTTTATATCCTACCTTATTCTGTTTGGGCATGGTAGGATACTATAGTTTAGAAGCTAGGAGAGAAGTGGCACTAACCGTGTACCTCTTTAAAATTTTAAGAGGTAGTATACAACACTGTGGGATACTAGCACAATTAGGATTTTGTGTACCGGATGAGTGCATTGCGCGGAGGCGCCGGCCGCGACTGTTTGTGGTGCCGCGCGCGCGCACTAACCTCCTCTATCGCGCGCCGCTGACTCGCGCGCTGCGCACTCTCAACACAGTGGCAGATAATATAGACATATTCACCTGTACACTGAGTGAGTTCACGAAGGTTACGTACTACGTAGTTTGTAAGATGTAGATGAGATATAGTAGTCGGTATACTTCTTTTTTATTTTTGCTAAAACATTGTTTGCTAAAATTTTATCTTATGTCAAATTACTTTGTCGCATTAGACGTAGTCTGTAATGACAATTGTAATATGTGCTTAAATAAATAAATAAATAAATAAAAATTTTGTATATCACACGAAATTTATAATTTAAATAACACTTGTAAAGTGCATCACCCCATGGTTGACTGTTAGAGAATGCCAACCGGCATTAAACTGTCAAACACCAAGCGGTCACCGGTGACCGCAACCTATTGTTCTATAATTGTGTCTATAATGACGGTACTCGACGAGTTAAGTCCGCCATCGCATGTTATATACAGAAGTGTAAATAAATAAATAAAAAATAAATAACGTACCTGAATATGCAGCTGTAGAGGCAGTGGTCTGACGCTGGGATGGAAGTTGAAGGTAGTGTTGGCGGAGCAGCCCAACCACTGCGCCACGTCGCGCGCGTCCGCCAGGGGGAGCGACAGCGCTACCATACGGATTTGACGACCTGTGGACAAACATATTACGTCATTACTATTATAATTAGCTGACAAACGTTTATAGTTTATATTATTTCTTTTTGGGACAAGTCCTCCACAACCTCCCAATACCGCTGCAACTCCTGTAGTCCAGGATCTACAGGAGATACAACCATGAAGACACCGGGACACTGAAGTCCGGCGCGTCCCAGGGACATGAGTAACTGTCTTGGTTCCCGTTAGTTTATATGACTGGCTGACCAACAGACATATATATATCTGTTGGTCAGTCCTCTAGTTGCTCTATTTGCTTGTTCCAAAGTGTAGATTCCTATGGAGAAGAACGAGCAAGAAACTGCATAGATTACAAGTGAAACAAGTGAATTTCTTTCTGCAAATAGGCTACAAGGCAGCACTTTCACACGACAATTTTATCAAGCAAACGATGAAGCCGACATGTCGTACTCTTTTTCAATCAGTTTCACAATACAATATTCTTGGTTAGCCCGAGCCCCGGAAGCCCGGAAGCTCGGAACCAGTCGGGCGTCCTCGCAAATATAGTTTTTACATAAAAATACGAACATATTTTTTTTATAACACAAGCCGTTAAACGAGCAGACGGATCACCTGATGGTAAGCAATCGGCGTCTCCAATGGACACCCAAAAACCAAGGCGTTACAAGTGCGTTACCGGCCTTTAGGGAATTGGGAATTTAAGGATTCGGGAGACTAGGGAGGGGAGTAATTGGGCCTCCGGTAACCTCATTCACACGACGAAACACAACGCAAGAGTTGTTTCACTATGGTTTTCAGCTCGTCGGTGGTATCACTCCGGTCGAGCCGGCCCAGCAGTGCCGGAGCATGGCTCTCCCACACACACACACCACATACACAGACAACTGTAACTCACCAATCTGCGAGGATATATACCGCATCCTGGAGCAGACGACCTCTAGTACCGGGCCCTCCTCCCCGCCCAGCAGTTGGAGCGCGTCCACTATGAACAGGGACACGCTCTGGACGCTCTTACGGACCTTCCATCTAGAAATAAAGAAATATAATATTAGCAACTTAATAATATAACATCACGCCTCTTATCCCCGGAAAGGTAGGCAGAGGTGCATGTTACGGCACTTAGTGCCACTGTACAATGTAACACCCACTTTTCTGTAATAGGGGGTGAGCCTATTGCTATACACCGGGCACAATTCCAGACTGAAGAGGTTTTTAAACCCAGTAGTACTTTGCCCGACCCGGGAATCGAACCCGAGACCCCTTGCCCGGCAGTCGCATTTGCGACCACTCGGACAACGAGGCAGTTACATAATAACATAGTAACTTAATGACATAACATAACGCCTATTATGACCGAAAGCGTAGGCAAGCAGAAGTGCATATTAAGGCACTTAATGTACCACCAACTTTTCACTGTTTATGTTATGAGTCCCATGTTATTACAGGTATTTATATGTGCACCTGGTCCTAACCATTGCAAAAAGCAAACTTCGAAAGCGCATACGAACTCATAGTACATTATCAATACATCACGCCACTGTAATTGTCGAAGAGGTATTTCTCGTCGGTTGGCACGTGCGATGCGAATAGTGCCTACAAAAGGTCTAGTGTTTCACTAGCTTTTACCCGCGGCTTCGCTCGCGTCACAAAAGGATAAAAAGTAGCCTATGTGACATATACCAATACACACAGCGCCATCTATACCAATACTTTTGTTTTCCCTCGGAAATATCAATTTTTCCGGGATAAAAAGTACCCTATTATTTAATCCAGACTTCTAACTTTACGTCTGCAAAAAATCAAAGCAATCGGTTTAGTAGTTACGGCGTGAAAGCAGAACAAACAAACAAACAATCTCACGTTCCGATTTATAATATTAGTAAGGATAAAATGACTTCTTTGTTTTTCATCATCATCATCAACAGCCTATAAATGCCCACTGCTGAGCAAAGCCTCTTCTCACACGGAGAAGGTTAGAGCGTTAATCACCACGCTTGCTCAATGCGGGTTGGCGATTTATAACTTATAATTAGAAATTATAAGTCCAGGTTTCCTCACGATGTTTTTCCTTCACCGTTTGTCAGTGGTGTCTAAATAATCTTAGAAAGTACAT